AACTAAGCCATTATAAGATTTTTAGTTTGGGTTATTTAGTTTTTTACATTTGGGTACAGTACTAAATATATGAATGATCATATAGAAAAGTATTCTATAAAATTAACAAAATTGAAAATCTGTGAAAAATTGTTGTAATGTTCATCATACTTTCTAATAAAAGTGTCATCATATACATCATTTCTAATAAATATGACTTAGTTCTTTGTAATAAAAGTAATCAAAATTAGATTTGTTTTGATATGTTTTTACATTAGAATTTCATAATAGAGAAAAAAAAAATTAATTATATGATTTTTTTCTAATCAAGGGTAGATTTTACTGATTTACAAAAAGCAAGTAGAGGTGCATTCAATTTGTTTCACTCATTAAAAGTTAAATTTCAACAAATAATAAACTTTTTTTTAACTATGAATACAATGTAATGCTGTTTATAGCAACAATGAATGCATGTAGTTTATAGCAACAAGGAATGCATGTTCTTTATAACAATAATAAATGCATGTTGTATTATATTTTTTTGTTGCATAAAAAATGCCTTAAGAATATTTTGTGTGATTTTATTTTTAGTGAGAAGAATTTAAATGCCCGTCTGTCTAAGTATGCCTATACTCATCTATGATAATGTATGCAATTTAATAAAACATCTATAACAGGCTTGGTCGGGAAGCGGGAGCGATCGCTCTCGAATACTGACCACGGAAATTATATTTAGTTGCAAAAATCTGGCCAGATTTTTTAGTCGTTTTGAGAACATTTAAGTTTATGTACGAAACAAAAAATTTTTGTTTTACGGACATACATGGAAACATAATAAACTTGAATGATCTCAAAACATCTTTGTGCGAAAGAATAAAAAGAATATTCGCGAACATTAAAAACCCGCAAAATTAACAAAGAAACTAGTTCTATTGGTTCAAAAAATAGCTGACTTAGCTAAATAAAGTTCTTGAGTATTCTGTTGAAATATTTTAGAAATTGTATTATTCACGATATGTTACATTTTGAGATTTCTAGCATAAATTGTTTTAAGAATATATATTACTTGTTTACAAAAATAAATGTTTTAAATATAAATTAGTTAAATTGTCGAAATTTTTAAAGTATATTATAAATTATTGATTTTATTAGTATATTCTTATTTTTTATTTAAAAAGTATGTATTCTTTATGTAAATGTAATTGTGTGTATCTGTTTTTTATCGTAATGTATCTTATAAAGCAATTTTTTTGATTTAAACAAGAATAATTGCGTTTTCAATGAAGTTATAATCATTATAGTTAATAAAACTAATTATGTAACAAACATAATTAGTTTTATTAACATAAGAAGTTTCTGGTTACTAAACTCAAACAACGCATACAAAGTAACTCGCGGATGAACAAGCACTGCGCCTGAGGTCACGACAGAACACAAATATATATAGCAAATACTTAGATATAAAGAAAAGTTTCTATATGTTGGTTTACTAACTCTAATTATTTTCGCTTAAGTTGCCATTCTTGAAACTCGTTATACTTTTTTCTGCTTTAAATACTAATTAAAATTAAGAAACCCACTCACTAAACATCATCACCGATATTGTGAAGCAGTTTCGCTTCCTGGTCATTAAGTATTTTTAACCTTTTTAGTTGATTTCTATCTTGTTAATTTAATTTCTATAGTAATTCAATGACTTAATTATTTCATATGTTTATCTTACTAAGAATAATTGCTTCAAATATGTTAAACTTTTCAAACTACGCGAAACATAAAATAGGTATTGAAAAAATTAACTTTTTTATTTATAAAATAATTTAGCTTAAATAAAACTAAAATTTGCAAACTTTGCTAAATAAAGAGCATTTTTTTCCTTTTTAAACAATCGTAAGTTATTACTTTATATAAAAAACATCGCTTAATTTTATAAAAAAAATTATAAAAGAGCGATGTTTCGAAAATATTTGTTCTAAACGTAATTTATTTAGCTTAAAAATTTTTTGCGTTTAAAGTTATTTTATTTGTCTAATTTTTGTTTTGTTTTGTTATTGTCTCTCATCGGTTCAATCAATCTGTTGCGCTTTTTTTTTTTTTTTTGCTTTTTAAAATATTCTCAAAAACGACTAAAAAATCTGGCCAGCTTTTCGCAACTAAATATTATTTACGTGGTCAGCAATCTAGAGCGATCGCTCCCGCTTCCCGACCAAGCCTGATCTATAATAATGTATAAATTATATATATATATATATATATATATATATATATATATATATATATATATATATATATATATATATATATATATATATATATATATATATATATATATATATATATATATATTATACATATATATATATATATATATAAAATATATATATCAAAAAAAAAAAAATTATTTTATGTAAACTAATTATTTTTAAAATAATGTCAACAAAAAAAAGCTATGCACTACAGCTTTATATATATATATGTATAATATATATATATATATATATATATATATATATATATATATATATATATATATATATATATATATACATATATATATATATATATATATATATATATATATATATATATATATATATATATATATATATATATATATATATATATATAATAATAATAAAAGTATATATAAATAGTAATAAATATATATATATATATATCTATATATATATATATAATAATAATAATAATAATAATAAAAATATATATAATTAGTAATAAATATATATATATATAATAATAATAATAATAATAATAAAAATATATATAATTAGTAATAAATATATATATATATAATAATAATAATAATAATAATAAAAATATATATAATTAGTAATAAATATATATATATATAATAATAATATTAATAATAATAATAATATATAATAATAAAAATATATATAGATAGTAATATATATATATATATATATATATATATATATATATATATGACAGACTTTTTATATAACTCTCTTTTTGGCTAAATTATAAGAGGTAACCAACCATAAGTTATTTATAACAACTTATATCTCTGATGGTCGCACTTTTAGATAAATCAGAGTTTCCCTATTATTTCAGTCTCTAAAGTAGTAAAGAAAAATTAGGTAATCAATAGCAACAGTCATTGATTTTAAAAACAACTTTTAGAGTTGTTACTCTTATACACAATTTATTTGAATGACACAGGCTTTTTTTGCCGTCAAGATAAGAAACAGCACTGCTAGTATTACCTAAGTACTAATATACTTGTGCTTAAGGAAGTATATGCACTTGTTTTTAGTCAATTTTATTTTTCAGGTTTTTTAGTTAACAAAAATAAAGTTAGCAAAGTCTATTTTTTATTATGTATATTTTTATATTTAAATTTTAGATGTTTACAAAAGAGATTCATCAGTTATTTGGCAGTCTCCATATGATCAAAAAGATTGCAATGCTGTTGTTGAATGGAAACATGAGAATTTTTTTCCGAAGAGCAATGTTATTGTTGCTTGGTTAATATATTATATACCAATACCCTTTTCCAACTATTGGAAGTCTGTAAAAATTAAACGTTATAATAACGATACAAACAAGGCCATTCTTCATAACTTAAATTGTACTGTTTCATACAGAGTTACAATCGCAGCTGTATTGAAAGAAACACTACAACTTAAAAAACTTGAGTTATTAGGGAATGTAACACATTTAATACTTGAAAAAGTTAATTTAAAAAAATTTAATATCAAAGATAAAAAAGTGTTGATTCAGCCACCAAACTCTTTAAAATGTGTCAGTATTAATGAGAATGAAATCTTGGTGTCCTGGTCAAACCCTCCTACAATTCATAAAATTTTATATTATACTGTGTATATTTCCAATGAAACAAATATGAACTTTAAAACCATTTACCAGACAGATGATCATTATTTAAAAATTGGTTCTCTTCAGCCACATACATTCTACACAATTAGAGTTATTCCAAAAGGTATCCCAGCACAAGAATCCAATATTTCTTTTTTACCAAGTCAGTATATATCATGTCAGACGAAAATTCTGGGTGAGTTTTTCCATATTACTTTTATATCTTAAGTTGTATTTTATGCATTTTTAAAAAATAAATAATTGGTTTATATTTATTAACTATTTTTTTACTAGCAACTTTTAAATACAATACAAGTACAACCATATACAAATATTACTACTTTTATATTTTATAGACATTATAATTACTATTTTTTAACCATTATTAGTTCTATTGTTTCGGTACATTATAATTACTATTTTTTAACCATTATTAGTTCTATTGTTTCGATTTAAATAGTATTATTAAGTTCATGGTGTATGGACTAAATAACTTTTTATATTTTTAGTTTCTTCTGCCGTGACACAACCAGAATATTATTTTTCTCAAAGAAATACAGATGGCTGGTACAAATTTTATTTAATTGTACGTTGGAAAGAGCCTTTACTTACTGGAGATGGGGTTTATATTTATAAAATTTATCTTCAACCTTACACACAAAAGCATATTCAAAAGTATATATTTGATCATGAAATCTATTATGTCTTTGCTAATAAATCTATTGATGGCTGGATTTATTCTCCATCCATTATTGTGCATCCAAAAACATATGCAGAGGTCTTAATTATTCCAATTAATGGAGCTGGGGAAGGGATATCATACAAGTTAACTACAAGAGGTTGTTTATTTTTAAATATTTTAAAACATTCCTTTTTTAATTACTGTTTTTTGTCAATTAGATTTTTTTTTTAAATTTAAACTTTTTGATAGTAAGTAATGACTAGTAGTGGTTATTTAGTAATGACTGGTAATGATTAGTAAGTAATGACTGATTATTTAATCTTGATTCACTTCTAAAAAGGCTGCAAGCAACCACTATTAAGTTGGGAGTGACTAAAAATAAAGATTAGAGTTAAAGAGTAAGAATTGTTAAGGAAGACTTCTCAAGATAAAAGACTTGAAAAAAATTAAAGGTTGATAGATGACTTGAAGAAAAATAAAGGTTGATAGAAGACTTGAAAAGTTGTATGTTGTACAAGTCGAAGATGAAAGAGAGTTTTAAAAGGATGAAGTGCAGGGAAAAAAACTAGACAAATAAAAGTTTTTAAAGCATGCAGGGACAGATACAGTAAAAAGATATGAGTAATAGAATAAGAGAGATACAGTAAAAGGATTTTGAATGATGTCTTTCAAGAATGAGTTTTTATTTGATGAAACTAAAGATGATAGCTCATTTCAGCAGCAACCATGACAGTGTTAGTAGAAGAAAAAAAAGGTGATGCAACCTTACAATGATGGAAAAGTGGATCAAACTTGGCAGGTAGAGCAGGTCTGACTATGTTTACAATGTCTTTTTGGACCTTATCAAGAACTAAATATGACAGCAGTATTTCATACAGGGTCGAATAAGTTATTTGTAGAGTTAGAGAATGAAATCAGGAGTAATATAATGGCAAGCACTATAAGGAGATGCAATTTTAGCAGGTGCTAACTTTGCAATCAATTTTATATATGTTTTCTATAAGGGGTCAGTAGTGAACAATAATCCAAGAAGACATAATGAAGAGGACTCTTCTTTATTTCTTCTTAGATTATCATGCCTTGTTTTAAATAAAAAAAGTGCTTAATACATTAGCTTAACACGATATTTGACGTCATAAAATTATCTTTATTTTTTTTTATAGACGTTAAGTGTTTTAACTACCGCAATAAATAAATAACCGCTAACTAGTTTTAAATATTTTTTAAATTTATGTTACTTAGTGTTTTAACCTGCGTTATATAAAAATATAAAAAAGTTTTGTCTGCTTTGAGCATATTTTTGATACATAGAACGCGTTTGCCAGGAATTTAATTCATCGATTATTTATGTTATCCTAAAAATGTTTTACATTTTAAACAAATCACAAAGAAACAGGGCTATAGAGAAAAATCGTTTTTAACAATTAAATCTTTTTTTTCTTTGAATTTTAGGAATTTAAAAAAAAATTTAATTTAATATAAAAGTCTTAATTATGCAAACTCTTTTGTTAATTATTCTTAAACAAAAAACAAATACTTCTATGCAAAACTTTAATCGTGCAAACTGAAAAAAATACTCATCTAAAATAATATAAGTATATTTAATAATTTGAATCGTATCTGTTTATAATAAACATTATTAAAAATTTGTTCATTAAAAATTAAGTTCCTTAACTTATAAACAAACTCAAAAGAATTTTCATTCTACGTATAATTATAAAACTCTTTTTTTTTTTTTCGTTTGTAAGCAATTTAACTTAATAAAATAAAAAAAGAATAGATATGAGATAATCTTTGTTAAAGGGATCCCTAAGTGCTCCTAACATATGATCTCATATGAAAGAGCATAAAAAAAAAATATGTAAGTTTTTTTTCTTTTTCACTAAATTGTAATAATAAATGCATGCTAACAAAAAGCAATTGCCGAAATCACTAAAAAACAACTCCATTTTGATTTGATTTTTTCACCATTGAAACTCGATTGTTAGTCGTTAAAAATCACGTTAGTACGTCACAACAACTTTAGAATATCTACTTCGATTTTCAAGTAAAAAAAAGTCGTGATTAAATAGTTAAGTTTTAATCAAGTTTTTTTAATTAGTTTTGCAAAAACAGTACAATGAAAGACGTCGTTAAAAAAAAGTTATAAGTAATAGTTAAACTATTTAATACTAATATTTAAAACTAAACTATTTAATAGTTTAGAACTTATAAAAAAGTCTTACAGGGCTCGTATTAAGCGTATCGCGATCGCGATTGCTACACACACTTTTGTGATTAATTTTTTCTTAAAAAAAATCTTTTCGCGACTTATTTTTTTTTTGGGTTGATTAATTACTTTTTTTCTAGCTTAGCATTTTTTTTAGCAATTCTTAAAAGTAATGTTTTTATCATAAAGAACGTCACACAAAATTTATTATTCTGAATAGATAGATGAATAGATGATTTGCTCTTTCGCGCGGAGATTTTCTTTCAACGTAAAACATTTTTCAATTTAAATTACTTTAAATTTTTACAAGGTTGTCAAAGCGAAAAGTTGAAAAGTTGGTTTTTATCTTTGTTTATCAAAACTTCATGTTTAAAATAAGGCTTACAAACGTTAGAGCAAAAAAATTACTGACTTTTATTTGCATTTTTATACTGTTTGAAAAAAAAAACTAATAAAAAAGAATTAATATATAATTATTAATTAATATATTATTAGTTAATTCTTTTTTATTAGTTTTTTTTTTAAACAGTATAAATATGCTAATAAAAACCAGCAATTTTTTTACTTTAATGTTTTTAAGCCTTATTTTAAACATGAAGTATAATTCGATTTATTAAACCAAATTTTTTTGTTTTATCTTTTATTGGAAAACTTGAAATAAAAAAATTGAATAAAAACATCAACCATTTAAATGAAAAACTTAATTATATTTAAACTTTTATTAGTCCTTTATTCAAGAAACAATAAATTATAAAAAACGTGGTATCTAAGTTTTTGACGATGTTTTTTGATTTATTAACGATAATTTTTTCCCCCCCCCCATTACCGCACATCGGCGCGAGCTATAAGAGAGGGGGGGGGGGGAAGGGGAGCAAAAAAAAAAAAATTTTTTTTCGCGATTAGATTTTTTTGCATTAATTCGAGGCTTGTCTTAGATTAATTTCTAATAAAATGTCTATTCAACCTTATCAATTTGAACCAAAAAAATATATCAATTTAACATAAATGTTAATTTAACTAAAACATTTTACAATCATTATTTTTTGTATCAAGCAAAAATGAGAGTAACCGTCACTTTTGGAACCATAAAAATTACTGAAATAAATTTATTTTTTTACTAAGGAAATATTTTAAATAAACTTTCATATGTCTAAGTCAATATTCATTTGTTTTTAACTGACTAAAAAGAGTTTAAAATTTGACTTCTATTCATTTTTAGCCGTGGAATTGCCCTTATAACACAAATATATAAATTAATATTATAAAAAAAAATTTAATATACAAATATATTTTCACAAAATGCTACAAAACTTATTCTTGTAAGTAATTATGTGTTAGTTGAAAAAAAACGACTTTACTTTTAAATTTAATTACCAACTAATAAGTTTGCAATAATGACATTTTGTTTACTTTGTTTAATTTGACGTACTAACGTTAGTTTTTTGAGGCAGTAGAGTCAATAAACTTTCGACAAGACGCATTTTTTTTAATCGAAGAAAAGCGTTTTTTTGAAAATTAAATTTGTTAGTGTGTGTTCATTATTGCGTTTTAGAAAAAAAAATATACATCAAACATTTTTTTTTTTTATCTTTTTTCATATGAGATCATATCTTTATAGCACTTAGGGATCCCTTTAAGAACAAATTTAATTTATTTATTGAACTCCATTTTTATTTTTACTTATATATCAACTTAAATAAAATATAGTAACATGTTAAAATATTTTAACACGACTTGTGTTATTTTAAACCATAGGGCAGCTGCCCTTACGGTACCATTGGTTTTGGATAATATTTTATTTTGATGAAGATCACTTAACTTACATTTGATTTTAATAAAGTAAGTCTTCTCTTTTTCTGTGATTTTTTAAAAAAATTTCTGTGATCTTTTAAAGGATTTAAAAGTTTTCAACGTAAATCTTTTGTCCTTCAAAATACAATCCATATTTGAACTTTAAAAAATTTGGAGAGAATAGAAATATACTAGGTTTTTATATACTAGTTTGTCTTATTTTATAAAGAAAAATACATAGTCATTAGTAAAAAATAGAGACTGTCAAAAAACTAAAACGTGCCTTAGTATTTATTTAACGGAGTCTGTAATTTGCGTGTGCATAATAAAACCTCTGTGCCAGCCCCTCCCCCTGCATAACTTAAAGGTATCTATATACCTTTAACTAATAAGAAAAGGAAAGAGTAATAATAATGAAGTATTTTTTAGTACAATACAAATAGATTGTTCATTCATTGGCACATTTTTTTTAATATCTTGAAAAAATGTCTTGATATTTTTGTTATCATGATAACAAAAACATTAAGACATTTTTTGAGATATTTAAAAAAATGTCAATCTTTAATTACAAATTTTTTGCAAATGTTTTTTAATATAAAATCAGTAAAAAACTCTTAAAAATTCTATATTACAAAAAACATTTATATTCTGTATTAATAAATTTGGAATATAGATTTTTTAAAAGTTTTTTACTGAAAACTTTAAAAAGTTACTACATTTTATTAAAAACATTTGCAAAAAATTTGTAGTTAAGAATTGACGAACAATTGTTCATGTTGCTAAATATTTTGATAAAAAGTTTAGCGAAAATTAATTGCTATAAAAAGGTAAGATATATCACGATGAAAAGTTACTATAATTATTTTTAACGTAACTTTTTTTTTGTAATAAATATTTTTATATATCGTTATTCAAAAGTTAACGTGTTTTTTTTTTTAAATTAATTACTTCTTTTATGTTACCGCTAATTTAAAAGTTAAAAAATGATAAAAAGTAGCTTAACCAAAATAGCTCCATGCGTACGTAAAAATCGCTTAAGGCGTACATAAATCGCTCTAGGCATAACGCTTTAAAACAAGGCCTGAAACTTAGATAAAAATACTAAAAAAATTATTTTATCAACTTGTTGCTCCTATGTTAAGGTTTCGTTGGGCCTG